CATTTCTTTACAAATCGCTAGATATTGAATAAATAATAAAATCCTCTGTTGATCGAACTTGTAATCAGAACTGTAACGGTAAAAAAATTAAAGTTCCAACCCTCTTGCACGCACCAACAACAAAATAAAACCCAGAGAAGAACAACATATGTTCTAGAGATGTTGTTCTATTTGTTCCTGCATTACATTGTTGTGATGTTATTCCTCTTCTCAGAAAATAGGTAATCAAAAGTGCTAACGAAAACATCAATCAAAATTTATTTTTAAAAAATGGCATTGCATGAAGCAACGACAACTGGAAAAAAAGCAAGCTCTAAAAAGTATTTGTGTTGTGTTTGTAATGAAACACACAGAGATTACATGTGGGGTATTGCATATCATTTGAATCAAACAGGTGGCATGTTTGCCACCATCACTGAAAGAAGATTTGTTTCTCCTGGTTGGTGTTGTCAAATTAAATACAGAAACCTTTGTAATTACTATTCCGAATGTGCAGAAAAGAAGGAAATTAATTCTACTTCTTCATTCAAATTTGTTGATTTGTCGCCATGTGTTAAATTTCAATCCAAACCTAAAATTGATGGTCCAGATTATATAATTGCATCTTTGGAAAGATTGATTGATTTTTTAGATTCAAATTCCGTTTGTAAAGAATGTAAATGTTATGGAGCTCTTCAATGCACAAATTATCAGCAGAAAGGGTTTGATTCATTATTATCATTCGAATGCTTCAATTGTAAAAACAAATTAATTCTAAATTCTTCCTCTAATTTAGAAGGTTCCTCTCGCCAAGTCCTTTCCAAAAAATTAATTTGTGCATCCCAATTCAGTGGAATCAATGTTGAGCAATTATTTAATGCTTTTGATCTTACTGGTCTTCCACATTATAGCAATCAAAGTGCAGTGTATGAGGTAACAACTAATATTTGGGATAAAGTTACAGAGCTAACAGATGAAGCGTTATTAGAAAATCTTAAATATATGGGCCTGATGAAATTAATGGCTGATGGACTTAGTTTTTTTGGTGTGACAATGAATATGAAAGAAAACAGACTTGAATCACAATGTTTGATAATTAATAATCAATATTATTATCTTCCACAAGAAATCATGTTGATTATTTGGTCATTCTATCCCAAAAAGAAATATATTCCTCTATACATATCCATAGATGGGAGATGGTCAAAAGCAAGAAACGCAAATGAATGTACTGTTGCTGCTATTGAATCATGTTTTGATCTTATTGTTCAAAGGTATAACACAATAAGAGATAGAATTTCAAGAGAGGGAAATTTCAAAGGAGCAAGCAAGTGTGCAGAAGGTAATGGTGTTGATCATATAATGGATTGGATTGTGAATCAAATATTTGATCTTTTTGGTGAAAAGTTCTATTTTGAAGTAAGAAGTTTTGCGCATGATCATGATGGTTCTACACGAAATATTATTCATGAACATTTTCCAAATGCTCAGGAATATTTAGATGTAAATCATAAGGGAAAGAATATTGCTAAACATGTTGCTGGAATAGCAAAAGGTTGGGGTACAGTTGTTTCAGTAGCATTCAAAGTAGCTGTAACAGTCGCTGATAATAATACGAATATTCTAAAAACAATTTTGAATGCATATGTAGATCACTGGTGTGGAAATCATGATAAGTGCTATGGAGATGGATGTAAATCTTCCAAACCGAAAATTGATCCAAACAATACAGAACTAATTGAAAAACTGAAGAAAGTATTTACAGAACTTGCTGAAAGTGCAGACTCCTATAAAAAAAGTGCTCACACTCAATCCAATGAGTCTCTAAATAATAGTATGTGCAAGTTTGTTTCAAAAAGATATGATTTTTCAAAATCATATTCAGGAAGAGTGGATTTAGCAGTGCTATTTCACACACACGGACACAAATCATTCATAACCTTAATGAAACAATTAAATGTTCCCCTCAGTGAATATTCTATGTATAAATTATCTAAGAAAGATGCTAAAGGGTTGTGGCATAGAGAAAGGAAGTTGTCTGTTGAATATAAAGGAAAAAGGAAAGCCAATAAGGAGAATCATAAGAAATTGCACAAAAAAGTAATTGAAAATTATGAATACAAGAAAGGTGATCCAGAGTTTACAGAAGAAACTCAACAATCAACACAATTAATAATTTCCGAAAAAGAAATCCACCATCAAAGAAGAAGAAAATAGATCATGTATATCGGTTCGT